TTGGACATCTCGGTCTTTGCCTTTCCATTCATTCAGAAGAAGGGACCTGATATGGCCATGCAGACGACCTGCAAAGAAAGCTAGGGTGGATCGAGTTGATGGAGACTGGCCACCAAGCCCTGACATTTCTGATGTTTTAAGATTTATTTCTGGAAACGACGCATCTTTGGAGGGATTAAATCCTTCTGAAGTATTTGCATTGCACAAAACTCTAATTGACTTATGAAATAATAGGGGGACAAAGGATGTTGTAAATGGCGCCTGTAAAAGTTAACAGTGCTTCAAACAATCAATTGAACATATTTAAGTTATTAATGAGAAGAAAAAAATAATAAATTCCAAGCTAGAAGAAAAAAGATGAAACATGAAAAAGGAAAAGGAACAAACAGCCACAAATAAAAGGCACTTGGTACCACCACTCATACCTCATACTCACAATCCAAAAAGAATGAATTGCAATCAAACACCAAATATTCCTAAATTTCTCCTAAAATTACATGCCGTTTTAAATTTATTACTGTTTACTTGTGTAAGTGTTTAAAACAATAGAAAATATCTAAGAAGTTTAGGTGGGACCAGGTCTAGGGACAGACAGAAGTGGCACCACATAAATTTAAATTATAAGTCCCCCTATACTTGCCGTTATCTATACGTTCAAACTTTCAACACACTGATTTGATCTAGTAATTTAAAACCAGGGTTAATTAAATGGTGAAAGCAACCATGCATAAATATCAAGCCTACTTGGCAGTTTATAAAATTCGTACGTCTTTCATTGGATTCGTGATTATCTTTTTATATATCTAAGGAGAATATAATCTTACAAGCCACTAGCCAGGTGTAGGTGTCTCTAAGCCACAAATGCAAAACAGGAAACATACATATAGAAAGACAAAATGAGAAAACAGGAGCGTTAGGATATGGCTTTATGTGCATTTGGTAGCTAAGAGTAATTTTAATAATTTTATCCAAGGGATAAAAATTAGGAAGGAACCCAAAAAAACAACACTCTAGTGATTTTAAGTTTTAACAACGTTTTTTTTTTTTATCGTGGTCCCACTCACACAAGTATTTAGTTTGGAGTGTAGATGGTGAGAAGAAAAAAGTGGAATATGTACCCAGTCGTGACAAGATAGCATGAAATGGTCAGCGCCAAGGCTTCGGTTCCAGAAGGGATGCTTTTGAGTGATGAGATTGACGTAGTCAGTGATAGCAAGCTTCATACCATGTCGATCATGTGAGTCGGGCATATACAGGTACTGAACCATTCTAACCACACTAAAGGGAAGAAAATAGACAAGCGCCTTATCGGGGTCTCTTGTACGATACATGTTGCCCTTCTCCATCTCATGAATAAACCTTCCCTCTGATGAATATATGCTCCTGCATGGACCGTCATGAAATATTGGCACCTCTCCTTCTTCGTA